CTGGTTTACTAGAAGCAAAGTGACGGTGCGACTATGCCGTATGAATGCCGAAAAACGGCAGTGGATTGATTTTTGTATTCATATTAATTCATTATTAATGAGTCATTATAAGTTTTATATTAATTGCTGATATTAAAATTATGCTTCTCAGTGTTTTTCTTTCAATTTAGGCTTCGCCGGAACTCCGGGCTATCTGTCTCCGGAGGTTCTCAAAAAGGAATCTTACGGAAAACCGGTGGACATATGGGCTTGTGGTAAATAGACAAACATAGTTGTTTGCATATTAAGATGGCCTTAATGCTACAGGTGTCATTTTGTACATATTGCTTGTTGGCTACCCGCCTTTCTGGGACGAGGATCAAAACCGTTTATATATGCAGATCAAAGCAGGTGCCTACGACGTAATCGCTTTGCTGTTTTGTCGTTCGCTTTTTGTAACATGTCTAAATATGGCCGTATAGTACCCGAGCCCAGAATGGGACACCGTGACACCGGATGCGAAGAACCTCATCAACAGCATGCTCACGGTCAATCCACGCAAGCGAATATCCGCCGAAATGGCACTGAAGCACCCGTGGATCAGCGTAAGCATGAATGCCGCCGATCGGTTTTGTTTAGTGACCCTTGCAGCGTTCGCTTTGTAGCAGAGGGAACATTTCGCGGCCGCCGTCCATCGCCAGGATACCGTCGACTGCTTGAAGAAGTTCAACGCTCGTCGCAAGCTGAAAGTGAGTATAAAACTTAGTCATCGTTGCCTCGGTGACTTCTTCGCATTATATCTTGTTACCACGTCGTCTCTATTCAGGGTGCAATTCTGACGACGATGATTGCTACAAGAAACCTGTCAAGTAAGTGCACTTATGTTACGGGGCGGAATGAGAGGGTGTTGCGACTGGGATATGGATGTGCGAGTGAATAGGACGAGGCGAAAGTTGACAGGGTCTACACTTGTTGTTAGTCTGCGCCACCTGCAATAGCAGCTTCACACTATTTTGTGACATTGATCACTGTCGCTCGCCGAATTGTGTCTGTACCTGTATGTCTTTCCGCGCGCTGTAACCTTCTCTGCATTATAGAGCTGAGGAATTCGGGTAGTACCGATAACGCATCTTTGAAAAGTCCGCTTCAGGTGCCAAGTAAGTAAATGCTGCGACGTGTTTTCAGTGGTCTGCTAGCGGTCGATTGCTCACTTGCTGCTACTGGTCAATCGATCGGTCACTAACTATGTGCACTCTAACACTGTTTGCGCCTGATGAGCCGGCGAGCGCGCAATCAGCCGCTGACTCACTTCTTCACTTTCCACGTGCATGTGGTATGGTTGGTACCTGGGGCATCTGTAAGGAGGTATGGCTTGTTGCAGATACTAGCGTATTCGCCTTCACTACGACTTAGTGCTAACGATGACCGAGTTGACGCTTGGTGGTCATAGCAGGTGCCGATGATGTCCTTTGACGCAGTCGGACGTTAAGACAACTGTTCGTGAAAATGCGCTCAAGCGCCTCCGTCTAATTCCCAAGAGATTAAAGGGCTCAAGCACAATCGGCTGTTTTTTTCTTCTTCTGAAAATCGAAGTTTCGTGCGCTCTACTTAATCGCACTGTTATTCCTTCTTGAACCGGGAGATTTTGTCCATTGCAGACAGAAGTCGATGTTCCCAAGTGTAGTTCATAATTTTTGTTTGTTCGGACGACCAGGCCGTCAATCTCTGTCACGAATTTAGACTACTTCTTATCATGTCCCGTGGCATGTTTATAATAACGAAGGAATCATTTTTGCGGTCCAGATTGAACAAAAGTGAGTTCGAATGTTCGTATGCTCATTTCTATGGCCGGAGTTGTTCATTCGCAACAGTCACGTACGCCTCCTTGACAAGACCAGTAGATGACGGAAATTGGCGTGTTCTGCTCCGCTTTGATTTTTTCACGATGTGTCATTAAGTTATGATTATTACCATACAAGATTATTTTTTTCTTTTCTTATGCTTTAAATTATAGCGAATTTCTTTGCGGTACAACCGTTGCAGATAAGTAGTTCGGAACAGATCTTCAGGTTTAATGATTTGGTGTGTGATGTGGCATCCAAAGAATTTCATATGTGATGAAGATTATTTATCCTGCGAATGAAGCAAAACTGATGCTAATATGATTTTCAAAGTACAGCGTGAATTCACAGCGACTGCTGA